CACCTTCACGAACGCCATGGCGAATCTCAGCTAAACCCTCAAGGGGTCGCACAGCAATCCCTCAGAGCCAAATCAAGATGGGTTTCTTCTTTTACACGTCCGGTCTTCAATATTCGAAGCATTCTGGTTTATGGAGTCATAACAGGCAGGATCAAGATGCTCGGGCGAGCGCCTTTTTTTGCACAGCTCTGAATTCTCCATGGCTAGGCTGTATGGCTAGTCCTCCATCATCTTGGCCTGGGCGGCAGCTATCTTGGCGGCAACCTTTTCTCTACGCTGCTCAAGCGTGATCTTGCGGCTTCTCACGTGCTCCGTGCCATCCGAGGCCTTCATGGTGTCTCCATCTTGCTCGTAAGTGATGTCTTTCTTGTCCGCCTTCTCGCCGTCGGGATCCTCACGAATCTTCTCATGCGCCTCAGTGTACATCTCTTCCATCTTCTCGGCGTCAATACCATTTTCGATGTACTTGGAGAAGTGTGCCTCGTACTTTGTGGGATCCTCCTCCTGAAGCATCTCCATGTACTCCTTCACCTTACATCGACAAATCGACAACGTCGATAGCAACTACTAAACGCAGCATTCCCATTCAGACACACAGCCACGCAGAAGAAACTGGCAATCTCACCTGAGCACAAGACATGATTGGCGAAGATCTTCTCCTTGTGAGCCTCAGCATCATACTCGGACTCACCGCCCTTCTCGTCTGCTGCTTTGAAGCCCGGGAAGTTCTTCGTGCTGTGAGGGATGTGGAGACCACCGTCAACTGCTCCCTTCAGTGCTCCCCACATTCGGTGGCCCACGCAGGTTCGGCGGATGCCAACATCCAGAATGCACTTGAAAGGGCGCTGCTCATTGTCTTCGTCTTCTATGTGATAGTCCTCACCGTCGAGCTCCTCCTTTCCTTTGAACTTCTCGTCCAGGCTGAATCGCTTGAGAACTCGACGGGCCAGCAGAAGGCCTGTTGCGTAGGCAGCTGCATAGTTCTTGTGGCCGGCAACGATACCGAAGCCCGCTAGCTCATTTGAAGAAGCTGCTGCGACAACAACGTCTCCCCTGAGAGTTGCGTACACACATTGGCAAATGCACCGTCTGTTGGTGAATCGCACCACCAGTCGATACTTGCGGTTGTTGAACTTGTTCTTGTCCTGCCGAACCATCTTTCTGCGAGCATGATAGTCCGTCTTGCCCTCTCTGCGCCGGCGCCGCGCGACTTGGAATCGTTTGAAGTAGGCCGCATTTTTCAGCACCTTCACGAACGCCATGGCGAAT